CACACACCACACACACACACCACACACACACACGACACACACACGACACACGACACACGACACACGACACGCACACGCAGCGTTAGCAGCCTACTTGTCGTGCTTCGTTTCGGACTGGGTGCTGGGTGTGGCACCTTCTGGAGGTTGTGCTTGGAGTCGAGGAGGGCCGACTTGCGCACGTTGAGTTTGCGCATCTGCCACGGGAGCTTGATCTCCTCCTTGAGCACAAACCGTCGAGGCAGGAACAGCACCAGCAGACACCTGCCGGGGCACGCAGGGTGCGACCACAGACGTACGAATGCAGCGGGCCAGGACCAAGGCACAATCAGTCACTGTTATGCATAACATGGTCTCAAATCAAATGCAACGTGTCGCAGAGACTGCCGAAGTAGTACGTACCAGACGAGGCACTCTTTGAGCAGGAGGGTAAAGTAGACTCTATGGTACAGGTTCACGTTGAGATCGCCCTCCTCGATCAACTTCGGCCCTGGTGTGTCTCTTAGCCATCAGCCAAGCCACTACACGGCTATGCCAAATATATAAATAAAAATAAGAATATATAAATATTATATATATGTAGAAGCAAAAAAAGTGAGAGAAGAAGAAGGTAGGGGGTGCACCTTCAAAGTAAGGCCCCTCGACGATGGCGATGAGGTCGTAGTCGGCATCGGGCTGGTGGCACTGGTGCACGCGCGAGCCGAACACGTACACGTTGCGCAGTGTCTCCCGCTGGGCGGCCTCCACTTCAGGACTCCCCTCCAGCAGAACCTGCACGCGCTTCAGCAGCTCCTGAGGACTCACTTCTTCATCTTGCTTCTCCATGGCGATGTTCGTTGGTACACAACCGCATGTTTGTATCTAGCAACCTGAGATGCGAAATTAGATTAACAGTTTTTTCTCATGATAAGGTAACTATATCTTCGTTAAAGCGTCATACTGAAGTTTGTTGCGACAACGAAAGGCTCTTTGGCGTAGTGGTAGCGCGTCGCTCTCGTAAAGCGAAGGTCGAGGGTTCGATCCCCTCAAGAGCCTTTCCGTTTTGTTGCTGAAGATCAATGAAGGAAAGCCTTGCCGTTTTGTTTCCGTGCGTGAGCACCTGTGCGCACGAGATAAAGAATGGTGAACAAAGCCAAATGTGTGAGATGAGTACTAACAACACACACACACACACGCATACACACACCAGGAGATGACCAATGGATTTGTCCTGCATTGATGTGCTCCTTTCCCATAACTGGTCCTGTCTCTGTAGCTAGCTTGCGTCAAGAGTTTGTTCTTTCTTGGGGGCTGTGTTCACAGTGTACATGGGTGGCATGAGCCAAACAGGAGCCTAGTTGCCCCAGAGCGAGGCCTTCTCTTGAGGCGCCTGCGAGACTCCTCCTTGGCGCGGGCCTCTTCCTCCTCCTTGCGCTTCTTCTCCTCGGCCAGACGCGCCTGCTCGAGCTTGAGGGTCTCCTCTCTCTTCCGCTCCTCCTCCTTCCTGCGCGTTTCCACATCATCCACCACCTACCGCACACAACACGGCACAGACAACCAACACACACACACAGCACACACAACGCAGCAAGTGTGAGTCGATGTTCAGGTGCGACGGCTCATGAAGGTGCGGAGCGCGTACCCTCTGGGCCTTGCGCTTGTTGGCGGCGGAGGTGACCTCGCGGCGGTTCTGCTCCAGCAGGTCCTCGGACTTCATCTGCTCGAGCTGGGCCTTGGCGGCCATGCCCTTCACGCCGCCCAGCGCCGCCGTCGCCTCCAGCTCGGCCATTTTCTGGTCCCTCGCAGCCCTCACCGCCAAGACCTGTGTGCCGCACACACCGCACACACCGCACACCGCACACACGGTCGGAATTTATGCCACACACACGGCGAGCCAAGGCAGGTGGTGCGGGCAATTGGCTACATACCTTCTGGTAGTCGTCGATGGCCTTCTCGAGCGCGGCCAGCGCGGCGGGATCGACGGGCACGTCGGGGAAGAACATGTCGACGAGCTTCTTGCCCCACTTCCACAGGGCGTACTCGATGAAGGCCACCTGGCGGTTCTTCTCGATGTCGACCTCCACCTTCAGCTTCTCGCGCAGGGCCGCCACCGTGAGCGTCTCGCCGCGCTTCTCCAGAAAGAGATGGGCCTGGAACTCGTCCACCATGCCGCCGCCGCCATATTTCTGTCGTGTGTGCGGTGGTTGTCATGGGTGTGCGGAGGGTGAGCTCTCTCCCTGACAACCAATGTACGTCGGACATAAAACGGAAAAAGAGCGAAAATGAAGACGAAAACAAATGGGGGGGGGCAAAGATCGAAAGCGATTAGATGCGGGGGAGGGGGTGTTACCTTCCACTCGTTGGCGACGTCGAGGACCTCCTCGAAGGCGCCCTGGAAATCGACGGCGAAGGCGCGCAGGAAGACCTTGGCCTGGTCGTCCACCGGCAGGGCGGCGGCCTCCTTGAACTTAGTGTACAACTCCTCTCTCGACGCTCGGACGGCCATCTTTGTTGTTTGTGGTGCTGTGATGTGTGCGGTGTGGAGTGTGCTTTGATGGGTTTAGGTCTGCGTCGTGGTTGGCCCTTTTTATTTGAGCCAACGCCGTTGACGTCACCCGGCAGCTGGCGGAATGCCAAACACGCTCTGCCTACAGCACTGTTGCCGGTGGCTCAGAGTGGCTTGCGGTCGCGCATGACGGCCTCGATGTCGTGGGCTTCCTTGGGCGCGCCCGCGGTTAGGATCTCGGGGGCGCCGGTGGTGATCAGCACGTCGTCCTCGATACGCACCCCCATGCCGCGGAGCCTGAACGTTGCCAGTAAAGCGCCCAGGTCAATCCCCCCAAGCGCTCGTTGCCAGGGCTACCACACACGACACACACGTACTCACGCACACGACACACGACACACGCGGACACAGGGATGACTTACTCTGCGGGAATGTCGGGGTCATCGGATACGTAGATGCCGGGCTCGACGGTGGCCATCATGCCCGGCTTGAAGGGCACGCGCGTGCTGACGTCGTGCACGTCGTGCACGTCCATGCCCAGCCAGTGCCCGATGCTGTGCGGGTAGAATCGGCTCACCTGCGTGCGCGAATCGTTCGAAGAAGAACGAAAACGAAGAACAAAGAACGAAGAAGAAGGTTTGGAATGGTAAGGTGGCGGCTGTTGTGGGAGGGGAACTGGCCTGCAGTGTGCGTCACACGTACGCCGGAGGTCTGGCCCGGCTTGATGAGGCCCAGGTTCTTGAGGCCCTCGGTGATGAACTGTGTCGACATTTGGTGGAGCGCAGACGGGCTCATGCGCCCATCCGACACGCACAACTACGCGGCGAGCAACGATCAGGCGAGATATGCCAATAATTGATGATAATAATAATTGTGAATAAATATTTGATAACAAATAAAGCGTAGAAAATAAATAATAATAATGTACCTCGATGCACTTCTTCTGGACGTCGAGCACGGTATTGTAGAGGTCGAGCTGGGCCGGGGTGAATTTGCCGTTGACGGGCCACGTTCGTGTGATGTCGCTCGAGAACATGTTGTACTCTCCACCCGCGTCGACCAGCACCATTTGCCCATCTCTGCTCACGCCCACGTCGTTTGTACCATTGGCGACACAACACAACACCACACGACACACACACAACACACCACAATTGGGAAAAAGAAAGAGTACTGCATGATGTCGTCGTTGGCGACGTAGTGGAGCGTGTTGGCGTGAATGCCCGACGCGAACACGGGCGGGTAGGCCAGGCGCTGCGAGCCTCTCTTCCTGCACTCGTACTCGTAGAGTGCCGCCAACTGGCCCTCGGTGATTCCTGCACACGGAACCCAGAGAGGGTCAATCCGTGTGTGTGTCGTGTGCCGTGTGTGTGCCGTGGGTCAGGGAGGTCATATACCAGGCTGGGTGGCGCGCATGATCTCGCGGAAGGCTTGGCCGCTGATTTCGGTCGAGCGGCGCATGACGTCGATCTCCGCCGGCGACTTGATCAATCGCATGGTCTGCAACAGGTTCCTCGGGCAGGCGACTGAAACAGCAAATGTGAGCCACACCTCACGACGCACACACGACGCACACACGATGCACACGACATGCGCATACTCTTTTCTGGCGGAATGAGGGCGAATATCTGGTGGGTGAACTCAAGGTGGACGTCCGGGGAGTAGAGAATGTTCTTCACGCCGTCGGTCAGATCCTTCAGCTTTTCAGCCAGCCGGTCGATCGGATGCGCCTATTTGCACGACACAAGACACGCAGCGAGGAGTGCATGTAAGCCGGAGCGGTGGTTGGCGTGGAAGCCGAGTTCGAGGTTTGGGGTAAGGCACCTCGTCGGCACCGAAGAACGAGACGGCGCCCTCGACGCCCGAGCGTGGGCCGTCCCAGATCTCCCGGGCGGGGTCTCTGGGCCGCAAAAACATGGTGAAGTGGATGGGCTCGCTGTCGGATCGCTTGGCTGTAGTGTAGACAACAATAATAAAAAGATGTTTAGAATATATAATTTATAAATATAATGCGAAAACAAAGATAAATAAAAAGGGTTGGGTAGAAAGAGGGAGGTACCCAGAACGAGAAGCGCGTCGGGTTCCTGGTAGCCGGAAAGGTAGTAGAAGTCGGTCTGCTGACGGAAGGAATACCTGCAGCCGTGCGATCGATTAACAGGCCCGTTCGCTTGCTCGTGTGCGTGCGTGCGTCGCGTGTGTAGCGAACATGATAGAGGGGACGTACGGAATGTCGTAGGACATCATCATCTCGGGGTGCGAGGGGACGATCATGACCGTCCCCACCGGTACGCGCGCCATGAGATTCTCCCTTCGCTGGGCGTACTCCTTGGCCGTGATGCCCGGCGTGACTGACGTGACGACCTTCATCATCAGCTTCGATGGCGCACGACGCACGACACGCAACACCGCACGCGACGTACTTTCGCCCTCTTTGACGAGGTGAGGGTGGGTGGACGGGTGGGGCTGGCCGTAGTTCATGGGCCTCGGCCTCTTGCCGGCGAGCGAGTCGGACAGACCCATGCGCGAGCTCGACGACGAAGAGAACGGACGACGCTCGCCTCCTGGCGTGGCTGCCGAGACCAACCGGCATCGCCGCCCCACAGCAGATGAAAACGAGAGGCACGATGATGATGCTGGTGCCGACGACGAAGCAGCCCCTCTCGCGCGCTGTGCCCAAATCAAATCAATAAAAATCAATTCCAATAAAATAAAATACCAAAATCAATGATGGAAGTGGTGCAATCAATTCGAAGGAGGAGAGCAACACCTACCCCCGCAAAGGCCCTTGCCGCAACTGATCTCCCGCGCTGCATCTGTGACTTCTCGGCTATCCGCGATTACCGCACACTTTCTTCTAAACCCTACACTCCATTTCTTTTATGTTTTTGTTTATTTGCATTATGAAATTATTTCTTTTTGGCGATCAGACAAGGAGGACCTTGTTGTTCTTCACGCCAAAGAGGAGGTCCTCGAGGAACTTGGTGTGGACCTTGGCCATGAGCTCCCTCGCGCTGGCGCAGCTCTCCTTCTTCATCTCGAACAGCAGCGCCCGGTACCTGAGCGCCATCTCCTCGTCGGGCTCGCCGCAGACGCGGGCCACCTCCTGCGCGAACCATCGCTTCTCGTCGGCGCTCATGACCCGCAGCGAGGTACGCACCAGCTGTTCCCTCCTCCCCGCTGCCGGTCGCTTTGTCGCATTGTCTTTGCTTCGCTCTTTTCCTTCGCTTTCGCTTTCGGCTTCGTCTTCGTCTTCGCTCTTTCCCTCGGCTTCGGCCTCTCGTCGCTCCTCGCTCCGCTCTTGGGCGAGCATGCCGTCGATCACGCGATCGAACACGGACTGGAGACCGGCGGCGTATTCGAGGAATGTCTGCCGTACCCGGAGGTACATCTCGTGGTGCTCGCTGCCCCAGTGGTCGAGATAGCGATGCGATGTCGCCGCTGTCGGTTCGTCGTCTACGCTGGACTCGCCGCCGTCGTCGCTCGTGCAGAACCGCCAACGCACCAGCTCGAGCATGCACAGCCGATTCATGCTGTCAAAGTCGTAGTCCTCCTGAGAACGCAGCCGAGAGTGAGGGCTGGGCGATGGGGAGGGGTGGACGTGTATGGGGGGTCATCACCTTGTTCCATTCCCAGGCATCGGGGTCGAGATTCTTCTCCTCGTCGGCCAGGCGCTCCTTGAGGTTGCTGAAGGCGATGTAGGCGGACGCGGGAAGACGCACCATCACCTCCCGGCCCCCGCAACCATGCTCCGCCGGCATGTTGCACTGGAGCACAAGCCCCTTGCTGTCGCTCTCGAAGGGCAGCCCGTGAGCCGCCGTAACTGCCGCATGACGCACAAGTCGTCAGCGCACACGACACAAAAGACACACACACACACACACACACCACGGAAGATAGCGGCTACCTGCTTCGTGAAGGGAGTCAAAGCGATGACACGGCACACAGCGCCAACCATACGCAGCGGCGATGGATTCGACTTCGCTTCTGTTGACGAGTTCGAGCGTGCGCGTGTCCCTCGCGGCGAGCAGAGTGATGGCCTCGTCCGCGTCCACGTTGCCCAGCTCGGGCTGTCGCTGTGGTCGCGTGATGCTGGCGACCTGCAGGTGGGGCGAGGTGAACTCGAAGATGTACCACCTCGGCGAGCTCTCGCCGTCCGCCGTAGCGGGGAGTCGGTAGTCAGCTCCGTTGCTGCTCTCCTGCTTCCGCCTCCACACCTGCCAGAAGTAGTCGGCCAGGGGCATACTCGACGTCGGCTTCAACGCAAACCGCGCCGTCTCTGTTCACTCGGGAGGGGGGGGCGAAGTGAGCGGCAAGTGCGCTGTGGCGAGGTAAACACACCACGGGGGGGGGGGACAAAGAATGTACCGGCAAGCGATGAGCCACGTTTGACTGAAAATGGGTGCATGCCATCGGGACCCATGAGAGTGTTGAGCAACCACTCGCCGCGATGCCGATAGAGTGCCACCATCACGCCCTTCAGTTGGCTCGTCACTTCGACCGGCCCCGCCTGCACCCCGCCCCGCCCCCGCGTGGAAAGTGAGCCCAACAGCCGGAGAGTGTGGAGAAGATGTGAGCATGTGTGGCCGCACCTCAACTTGGTCCGGCAGTTGAAGAAGGCGTGAGGGGTCTCGGTTGCCGCGCTCAAAGATCTGCTGCGCGCCGTAGTAGTAGAACTTGGGGAACGGAAAGCACACTGCCCGCCACTCGCCCTGCAAAACAAAGGCGCCTTTGTGAGCACCGCATTCACTGGCGTGCGGGTCCAGCCAGCTCACGTGTGCCTACCTCCTCTTTCGCCAACGACGAGCGCACGACAACCGCGAGGAAGCGCGCAGCCCATCGGTGAAGAACTGTCTGAGTAGGTGAGGTGGTACAGGTCAGGGTAGGCCAGCGACCGCTTCACCTTGACCTAATCATTAATAGGCATAGTAATCAGTTGAACTATGCACGTTGCATGGTGACTCTGTAAAGCGTGGAAATTGGGCTGTGGCGCGCGCGCTTACCCCAAAGTAACGGCACAGACCGCGTAGGCCGCCGTCGGGGTGGTTCAAGTAGGCAAGGACCCGATGCAACTCGCTCGTTTGGCCGAGCTGCAGTTCGTCCTTCTTTCCTTTGGCCTTTCCCTTTCTCTTTCCACGACAGAAGAGCAACGACGAGTGAGCAATGCCGAGCCAATGCCAAAAAGAGCTGCACGGAGGAGGAGCCGGTGCGTACCGCCGCGAGTGGGTGTTTTGGTTGAGGAGGGAGGCCAACGGGTCGTCTCCCTCCTTCTTTTCGGCTGCTTCTACCTCGCGCGTGACGTAGGCCTTGAGCTGCCGAATGAGCGAGCGCAGCGTCGGTTCGTATTTGGCTTCATAGTACTGGGGAGGATGCAGCGTCGCGGCTTCGCTTTCGCTTTCGCTTTTGGCTTCGTTCTTCTCGGGCAGGAGCTCGTAGAACAGGTCGTTCGCCACCTTGCTGTGACGACGACCACCAAACGAAGAGGAGAATGAGCGACAGCGGCACCACAAAAAGAAGAAAGGGAGACCGAGGAGCGCACTAGTCGGTGATGGCTCCGTGCTGCGCGATCTGGTGCCCAAACTGGGCAAAGCGGATGGCGTGCACGATACACTTGCGCGCGCGGTAGTGCAGGAGCGCGGGGTCGTTGTCTTCGTCCCGTCCGCCGCCTGCTGTGAGGCTCGATGTGTCGCCCGCCTCGAGCGCGGCGACAATCCGGTCCCGCCGCCGCCACAGACGGAAGGCCTTGGACCAGTTCGTGTCGGCCTCGTGGTAGACCGAGCGGTAGAGCTTCGTGAGCCGCACGAAGTACTCCACCTTAATCGTCTCCTTCCACACCCACTCATCGGCGGCATTGGTGGCGGTGGCGTCGAGGCTCAACGTTGTAGCGGCGTTTTTATTGTTGTTTGGGAGGAAGAGGCAGGTGAGCACCTGCGGGTCCTGGTCTTCGATGCGTTCGAGGAAGGTGCGCAGGGGGTAGATGTGGGCATCGACTTCGAAGCCCCCGGCACCGTCGCCCTTCTGCACGTCCGACGGACCCGCGTAGGACGAGGAGTCGGAGATGACCACCTTGAGATCGTAGTCCGCGTGGGTCTTGTGAATGCCAAACAGCCGGCTACCCACGAGGTACACGTTCAGTACCTCCTCCTCTCGAATTCCCAACAGGGCACACAATCGCGAGAGCCTGCAAGGCTGCTGCCCACCATCTCCATTCATCTTGCTTGTGCCATGCTTTGTCCCATTTCAAGAAATTGTTTCAATAAACGAAAACAGTGGGACATCAAAATTCAGGAATTATCGGGGAATGTGAGGCGGCAGGTCTGGCGGACAAAAAGCGGGAAGGGCAGCCGCAAGTCTTTCTCTCTTTTCCCTCTCCTCTTATCGTTCATCCTTCTCGTCGGGCGGATCGATCAACTTCAGCATCATGGGATTCGTCAAGGTGGTCAAGAACAGGTCGTACTTCAAGAGGTACCAGGTCAAGTACAGGCGAAGGCGTGAGGGCAAGACGGACTACCAGGCCCGTAACAAGATGATCATCCAGGCCAAGAACAAGTACAACACGCCCAAGTACCGCCTGGTCGTCCGCGTGACCAACAAGGACATCATCTGCCAGATCGCCTACGCCAAGATCAAGGGTGACATGATCATGACCGCTGCCTACTCTCACGAGCTCCCCCGCTACGGCCTCAAGACCGGTCTGACCAACTACGCCGCTTGCTACGCCACCGGCCTCCTGCTCGCCCGCAGGCATCTGACCAAGCTCAACCTGGCCGAGAAGTACCAGGGTAAGACCGAGGTCACCGGTGAGGACTGGTCGTACAACCTCGACGAGATTGAGGGTCCCAAGCCCTTCAAGGCCACCCTCGATTCCGGCCTTGCCCGCACCTCGACTGGTGCCAAGCTCTTCGCCTCGCTCAAGGGTGCCTGCGATGGTGGCCTCGACATCCCCCACTCGGACACCCGCTTCGCCGGCTACTCCGCTGAGAAGAAGAAGCTCAACGCTGAGGTCTTCAGGAAGTACATCTTCGGTGGCCACGTTGCCGACTACATGAAGCAGCTCGCCGAGGAGAACCCCGAGAAGTACGCCAAGCAGTTCTCGCAGTACATCAAGAACGGCGTCAAGCCCGAGGATGTCAAGACCCTCTACGAGAACGTCCACAAGGCCATCCGTGCCAACCCCGCCCACCAGAAGAAGGTAAGCATTCACACTCCCCTTCCCTTTCGACTCTTCTTTCGTTGTCATTTTTTTCGAATCGTCGTATAACATTTGCATTCTTTATTTTCAGGCCGCCCCCGCTCAGCCCGTCGTCGCCAAGCGCTGGGCTCCCGCCAAGAGGTCGCTCAAGCAGCGCCAGGCCCGCGTTGCCCAGAAGAAGGCCAGCCACGCCAAGAAGCTCGAGGCCTAAGCTCGATCTCTTTTACTGTTCTCCCACACAAACCCCACAGACGCAAAACACGAAGAAGCCATTTGATGGCTGTACTCGAACACCCGCGCCTTTCTCCTCAGTGGCTTGCAGAGTAGTTGTACTCTTGTTGATCTGTGGTGCTGCGCCTGTGCTCGTGAGCTGTGCCACGCTGTACAGAGCGTGCTGTACCCGAGACAGCTCAGCGACCTTGAAGCCGTGTAAGTCATCGTCTTCTCGAGGAGCAGGCCACGTTGCAGTGTGCGACGATGTCCTCGAGCCCAGGCGCAGACGATCGCCCAGTCACTTGTCGACCGTGTGAAGCGCAATAAGTGGTCAGACAAAGAGCTTTGTCGGTTCCCTTTTCCGTTGCATGTGTTTTGATATATATTTGTTTATAATTCATCACATCCGACACGCACCTGAGTGCAAGTGATTGATCGAAACGACTGCGCGACCAGATAGTCTACTCCTCCGGAAACGACGATCCATCTCTTCTGCAAGCTCCCTCAGTCACAAGCCTGAGCATTTCATTATGATGGATTCTGCGATTGAAGCCGTGGAACACTCGGCGTTCGACCATCCGCTCAGCCTCGCATTGGACGACGACAGCACCATGGTCGACGTTCCCAAGGAAAAGAGAACCACCGTGCACCATCATAAGGAGGAATTCAGCGATGAATTCCTATTCAAAAATCGCGATTTCGATACATCTCAGCAGACCACTTCACATCATCACCACCACCACTCAAATGGAAAGGCCGGCTTGGTCGCAGAAGTCGAAGACGAGCTCTTCGGCGGCAAGAGGAAGAGCGGCGCGAGCGACGTGTTCGGTGCATCGACGTTCGAGGTCACCGAGGCGCCGGTCAAGAAGAAGGTCGAGCCGCCAGCAGTGACCGTCATCGTGGCCGTCCCCTCTGCTCCCAAGACGGAGGAGCCAGCTCCTCATGAAGTGGTGGTTGAAGATGACGGCGAGCAGCAGGTGAAGGCCATGGTCGAGTTCGAGTCCTTCCCGCCGCCCATGTCCGAGCGCCAGGCCAAGCGAGCGGCATCACAGAGGAAGAGCTCCAACCCGCACAAGAGCGCCAGCAACAGCAACGGCTTCTCCTTTGGCCTGCCGTCGCTGACCTCTTCATCTTCCTCGTCTTCATCTTCATCTTCATCTTCGACTTCGACGTCGTCCTCGCGTAGCGAGGGCAGCGAGGAGCGCGACCAGGTCTACGACATCAGCATACCCATCACACACATCGAAGAGTCCCCCAACGACGAAGAGTCCTACGCCGTACGCACCATTTATTTTATTTTATTTATTTATTTGATCTTTTGTTTATTATTTATCATTTTATTTATTTATTTGTGTGTACAGGTGTACCACGTCGAGTTCTTCAGCCTGTCGTCCACGGAACCGAAGACGGTGGTGAAGCGATTCTCCCAGTTCTATAGCCTGCACGAAGCCGTACGCTCCCATTCTCTCGTGTTTGGCACACGACTGACCGCACACGCACTCGCGCGTTGCTAACCACCACCCATTTCCCAACGTCCCAACAGTTGCGACAGTCGTATCCGAATGAAGAGATGCCGGCGTTCCCCTCGCGGCTGGTGCTGGGCAGTTCGCTCGACCCCAAGATCATTGATGAACGTCAGAAGTACGCACCACCGAACCGCCACCGCGCGGCTTTCAATTCTTTGCTTGATTTCCTCACCGCACACACGTCACCGCACACACACACCGCACACACGACACGACATCAATAGATTGCTCGACAGATATCTGAAGGAACTGCTCGTCAAGAAGCGCCTTTGGAATTCGTTCCACATCAAGCTCTTCTTCAACCTCTACGACCTCACCGGCAAAGTGGCGGTACGCGCGCACCGCGGTTCTACCTTCTGGCCTCTTCGTTCTTTTTTGGGCTCACTCTACTCTGCTCTACCGATCGTCGTCGCACGCGGCTGCAGATTGTCACGGGCTCCTCGTCGGGCGTGGGCCTCCACACTGCGATCACGCTGGCGCGCCTGAACGCGCACGTCATCTTCGGTACGCGCGAGTTGGGTCCATGCGCGCGCACACTTTCCCCCTCCCGTCGTACCACTTCTCTGATCTCGGCCTTGGTGTGCGCAGCCTGCCGCTCGCGCGAAAAGACCGAGCCGATCATCGCCAAGGTCAAAGAAGGTACCCTTCGCTTCGATCGGTCGTGTGCTGCCGCTGCTGCTGCTGCTGCTGTTGTTGTTGTTTGCGGTCGTGCTCATTTCACAGCGTTGGCACACAGAGACGGGAAACGACAACCTCGAGTTCATGGAGCTGGACCTGGCGTCGCTCGACTCCGTGCGCCACTTCGCCGCCGCGTTCACCAAGCGAGCACTGCCCCTGCACCTCCTCGTCAACAACGCCGGAGTCGTACGGCTCCCCTCCCCCCCCATTGCCCCACCCTCCTCCTTTGCACTCCCAATGACCCGCAGTCGCGACACTCACGCACGCCAAATGTGGGCAGGCCGGGGCGATGGGCCAGCTCACCCAGGACGGCTTCGAAATCCACATGGGCGTCAACTACATCGGGTACCCCGTGTGCTGTGTATGTGTCGTGCGTGTCGTGCGTGTCGTGTGCCGCTTTGGCGCTCACGTCGCGTCCCCCAACGTGCCTCTTCCAGGCATTTCTTGCTCACCAACCTGCTGCTCGAGGAACTCAACACGACGGCCACGAAGAGGTATCGCCCCACACTCACATCGCAATCATATCAATATATATTTAAAATTGGATTCTTGCGCTTGTCCGGGGGTTGCAGCGGCGAGAAGACGCGGATCGTCAACGTGGCATCGCGTGCGCACACGGACGCGCGAGACGTACTCATGAGCGACAGCTACATGTTCACTCCCACCACCAAGATCACCCTCTATCGTACGTGCATGCCCACATCGTGTCGCGTGTCGTGTGTCGTGTGTCGTGTGTCGTGTCATTGTTGGCACTGACGCTTCTATCACAGCCGCGTTTGCTCAGTCCAAGCTGGCGGTGGTGGCATTCACAAATGAGCTCGCCCTTCGCCTGGAGGGCATGAACGTGGTCGCCAACGCGGTCCACCCCGGCGCCGTCGCCACAGGTGCGGCGCCGCATCCACCCCCGCCAGCCAGCCCCCCCCACGCCAATACTGACGACCGATGCGGCGTGTGGGTGCGCACTGCACGCGTGCAACGCAACAGAGACGATCTTCAAGCAGGCCTGGAACCCCATACCGTTCACCGTCAACTGGCTCTCCAAGAAGTTTCTCATCAGCGAAGAAGAAGGCACACGCCGCCTCCCGCTCCCGCTTCTGCTCCGACTGTGCTCGGTGTCGTGTCGTGTCGTGTCGTTGGTCGTGTCGTTGGTCGTGTCGTTGGTCGTGTCGTTGGTCGTGTCGTTGGTCGTGTCGTTGGTCGTGTCGTTGGTCGTGTCGTTGGTCGTGTCGTTGGTCGTGTCGTTGGTCGTGTCGTTGGTCGTGTCGTTGGTCGTGTCGTTGGTCGTGTCGTTGGTCGTGTCGTGTCGTGTCGTGTCGTGTACGTGCGCGTGTCATGTGCGTACACAGTGCTGATATGCTTTCGCAACTCTGGGTGTGCAGGCGCCCGCTGCTCGCTGTTCGCGGCCCTGGCCGAGGAGACCGCGTCGGTGCGCGGACGCTACTTCGAGAACTGCATCGAACGGGTACGCGTAGGCCACCACCACCACCTTCTTCTCCAACGCCACGGCCATCACTAACGGTGTGCACCGCCCGTGATGTCGTGGTGGTTCTGCATTGGCTGCAGCCGCCCAACCCGGTGAGCCACAACCGAGGGCTCATGACCCAGCTGTGGGAACACAGCGAGGCGTGGACCGGTCTTGCCGAGTGATGCCATCCCAGAAGGCACCTCCCCTTTCAAGCAGGGCTGTGGCCCCAAACGCTCAAAATTTTGTTGTTTTTTCTTCTTTTTTTGGTCTTTTGGTAAAACAAGCGACCAATTCCGAAAGTGTTAGTAGAAGGGTTTGGTTGGCCCACAACGACCACACGTACCTGGCTCTGTGTGTTCTCGCACTCGTGCGAACACAGTGAGCGACGTAGCGAGCGAAGAAGGCCATGGCGACAGGCGGAGCACTGGGGTCCTTGCCGGCGGAGACGTTCCTGTTCCAAGCGCTGCTCAAGCTGCAGGACGAGTTCCACGTGCCGGTGGAAGAGATTCAGAACTCCATCCAGTCCAGCTACTCCATGCTCGCCGAGTTCAACAAGGTTAACGCTTACTACTACTACGACTGTCTCCTCCACTCGTTTTTCCGCGCTGGAACTTACCTCCGCCTTGGTCGTGGTACGCAGATGCGGGGTACGGGGGACATGTGCACGGGCTGCGGAAACATGCACCCCGAAGCCGAGCCGCTCACCTTTGGTACGCCTACGCACCAAGCCAGGATCCTGTCGGACCTAAACCTCGCTCGTCGCTTTCTTTCCCTCTTCTCTCTTCACTCACCGGGGGGGGGGGCGGATGGTGAAGAGGCGATGCAGAACTGGGAGGCGCCGGGGTTTCCCTGGGCAGACAAAGTCGACCACGTACTCAAAACAGGTATGTGCCCCAAAGGGAAGGAGTTGGTGTGATGGTGTTGAATTGAGCTCTACACATGTGTCTCACACGCCCGCACGCCGGCAGTGTTCAATCACGAGCAGTTCAGGCCCAACCAAAGGAAGGTGATCAACTGCGTGCTCTCTGGCCGCGATGCCTTCGTCATCATGCCCACCGGCGCCGGCAAGTCCCTCCTCTACCAGGTACACACATGTCCCCCCCCCGGCGGAGTGTCCTGTTCTCTCTGAGCCTTAGGCGTCTCCACCCGCCAACAGCTGCCGGGCGTGATCTCGAACGGGTTCACGCTGGTCATCTCGCCGCTCCTCTCGCTCATCCAAGACCAGGTGAGCGCCCTGCGCAAGAAAGGTATACGTTCCCTGCCTCTCTCCTCGTTGGGCCGGATCGTCACCCACACCACTTCATCATCATCGTCATCATTATCATTCCCTTTTTTTTCCTGCCCTTCTCTGTCAAGGCGTGGTTGCTGTTGAGCTGAGCTCCTCCCGCACCCCGAAGGAAGTCTCGCAGATGCTGAAGAGTACGACTTCGTCGCCTTCTTAACAGCACGTGCCGTTTCTGTATGTGGTCGCTGAACAGAACGACATTGGTATACCAATGCAGCCTTGGCCAAGGACACGAATGTCAAGTTCCTGTTCGTCACCCCGGAGCGCGTGGTGAAGAGCACCCGTTTCTTCGCCTTCCTCCGTCAACAGGTCGATCAGGCGCGGCTCGCGCGGTACTCCGACTCGTCTCCCACCCCACTCCTCCTCACCTTCACCCGTTCACACATCATCGATCTGGCTGGCGTGCCGCCAGGGTGGTGATTGACGAGTGCCACTGCATCTCCCAATGGGGCTACGATTTCCGGCCAGACTTTAAGGTTTCTGAACTCCTGCGTGGTGCAGTAGTGCAAATGACCTTCCAAGCTTACAGTGCCACACAAATACACAAACACAAACCACACACCACACACCACACACACAAACACAAACACACACACACACACAAACCACACGCACACAGCAACTGCTGGTGCTGCGGAAGGAGTTCCCGAATGTGCCCATCCTGGCGCTCACGTCAAGCGCCACCAACCGGTGCAAGGTGGACACCATGCGCCAGCTGGGCCTCGAGGAGTGCGACTTCTTCACCCAGAGCTTCAATCGTCCCAACCTCCGGTTTGCTCTTTCTCTCTCGTGTGCGGCGTGCGGCGTGCGACGTGTGTGCGCGCGTGCGTGGATGCGTGCATGTGCGCGCCTTACAGTGGTGGCTAACGTAGCGCTATCTTCAAGGTACGCTGTGGAAAACAAGACCAAGAAGACGACCAAGAAGATCATCCAGTTCATCAAGAAGAAGCACAACAGCGAAAGCGGCATCATCTACTGCCTGTCAAAGAAGGAGTGCGAGGCCATGGCGCGCAAGCTGCAGGCTGCCAAGATCCAGGCCAACTTCTACCACGCCGGCCTCAGCCCCGCCAAGCGCGAGAAAGTGCAACGGTGCGCGTCATTCTGGAGCTCTTTCGTTCTTTTGTCGTATTCTCACAGCACCGCGGCCAACGCGCCTTCACGACGCGCAGGAAGTGGATGGCCGGAGAGTTTGCGGTGATGGTGGCGACGATCGCGTTCGGTCTCGGCATCGACAAGGCCGACGTGCGTTTCGTCATCCACCACTCGCTGCCGCGCACCATCGAGGACTTCTACCAGGAGTCCGGCAGGGCCGGTCGCGACGGACTCAATGGTGCCCACCACCCTCGCACGCTCTCACGCACCACACGCACACGCACCACCGCACACGCACACACACGCTCCTTGTTCTTCGACGTCAACTCAACACACTCGTGTGTGTTCGGCGCACTCGTGGCACCCGCGCAGCCGATTGCGTGGTGTTCTATAGGCACAGTGATCGGCCGCGGCACACGTTCATGCAGCTGTCGTCATGCAAGAACGCCTTCCAGGCGCGCACCAAGCTGGAGAAGATGAGACAGCTCACGGCCTGGTGCGAGGACCACACGCGCTGTCGGCGTGAGCTGCTGCTGGAGTACTTTGGCGAGGCCTTCACGGGCGGCGCCTGCTGCAACGGCATGTGCGACAATTGTCTTTTCGGCGCCCGGGCGGTGGCGCTCGACTGGTGTCGGCAGGCACAGGCCGTGGTGCGTATCGTGGGCTCGCTGGGCGACAAGGCGACGATGGCCAACGTCGTGAGCGTGGTGCGCGGCTGCACGACACCGACCGTCAAGGCCAACGGGTGGCACTCGCTCCCCGACTTCGGCGCTGGTGCGTTTCCCGTGCGCGCGCGTGGAGAGAAGTCTGATCCTCACCTTCTCGTTCAACGCGCCTTTTTTTGTTGGAATCGTGAACAGATACGAGCGCAAGCGAGCTGGCATGCCGGCGGCTGGTGCAGTGGATGACGCTCAACAACTTCTTGCTGTACGGACTGCCGTGTTTGCCTTCTTGCAATGTACCCTTGCCTTACCACTACTACCAACCGAACAGGGAGCAGCCAACGCTGTCGTCGTACAAGACGGCCCTGATCCAGCTGGTGGTACCGCTCCCTCAACAACGCGCATTAATGAATGCAAAAAAGCGCGATAGATGGTTTTTTTTCTCACTTGCACGCCCCCACCGAACCGCCACGATCAACCACCAGAAAGGGGGCGAAGCCGACGCACTTCTGGACGGCCGAGCCAAGGCCCAACTGTCATACTACGAGGTAACGATCACCCCACCATCAGCGGTAGTAGTCTTCGGCTGGAGTGGGTCACCAACTACCCAACAACCGACAGGAGAGCTTTATCGAAGCAGCTGTGCTGAACAGAGGCCAAAAGCGCAAGGCACCACAACGAGCTCCGCCTCGAACTCGAACCACCACAGCAACAGCAGGAAGAAGGTAAAGAGGACAAAAGCCGACGACGATGATCTGTATGAAG